TGTTCTTTTGGTGTCACAGAGAAATCTTTTGACATGCATGTTCTTGACTCTTAAATTGGTTGTTTTCGTGTCATAAGCAGGGCTGTACAGGGCTGTAAACATCTTGCTCTTTTTCTGATTGCTACTTTATTGGTGAATCACAGCAGATGCTAATATGGAAGAGAGAATTGCTTTGATGCTCCCTCTTTTCTCCTTCCATAGATTATATAGCTTAAGCTGCTAGATGTGAAATTATTCTGGTTCTTTCTTTAAGGTCAGTTTTGTATCTTGTTCTGACCTCATTTTGTCATTTATGTAATTACTGGCAGTGCAACTGCGATTCTGCTTTGCTGTATTCTTGGGCATCCTCTCTTTATCCTAGTCTGCATCTTTGCTCTTATTCATATTAAATTACCTTTCTCCTCCTGTCACTTGTGAACATGCAGGAAAAAGCTGAAAAGTAATGCTAAATATGCTAGGTTCTTCATTGTATAGAAAAATTTTATTGGATTTAACACATTGTTTTGGCTCAAAGGTCACCCATACTTCTTGTCAAAGCAGACTGACAAAATGCAGGAGGAATAAATTAACCCCTTTGTGCAGCTCTGTAACTCATCTTTGTTCAATCCCACGTATGTTCTCAGAGCCTCGTAGAAAGACAAAATATTTTTTGCAGCCTCACAGAATTGCTATGGCTCACAGTTTATTACTTGCTAATGACTGAAGCAGTGCCAAAAGCATTATTCTTAACTATCAGCGATTGAGATTGGAGAAAGAAAAAATTCTGTTCACTTTTTGGTGAGGGGGAAACATGAGGAGAAGGGAATTGCATATTTCTACCAAGGGAGATTTTTATCTTTAGGCAGTGAATTCAATTTCAGGTCTGCTATAGAAATAAAATTAATCCCATCTGGAAGGGAAAAGTGCTGTGCTATACAGGAGAAATTACTGCAGGAATGTGGTACTATCTCTGAATGGCGGGTGTATTTTCTGTGATTTTGTGCTGACAGCTTTTAAAAAAACCCCCACAACTAAGTGCTTTTTGTCTAGTCTGTGTGCCCATGCATCCAGGTCCACAAACTTCAAGTTTAATTTTTACTCTGAAATGAAACTTGTGCAGCAACTGGTTGTTCTTAGCTTTCGTTAACTGAAACCTCATCTTATCTGCAAGTGGTAAAACTCCAGCCTGATTCCGCAAGTGCTTAAACTGTGCTCTTATCTTCAAGAGCACGAGCGTTTCCATTTAGCTCTGTGTCTCTTTGTTGGACAGGGGCTTTGTTCTGTTTTTAACGTGTAATTCAAGAAATTTAGTGGTTGCATTTCCCGTTGCTGGAGAGATTTATGTTTACTTTTGAAGTACCACAGTTGATAAAATTCTTAAGAGAGCAAATGTCACAAATATCCCAGCATTGCCTGTCTACTGCTTTTCTTTTACCTATGCCATACTGTATACAGCTCTACTTTTTGTTTCTGTGCTCCCCTTCTATTTTGTTAGTCGTTCTTTGTTATTTAGTTTAATCTTAATATTGTGTTCAGCAAAGGTACTGAAATACTGCAAGCAGTAGTTGGCACGCTCCTTCCTCCACATCAGTTATGCAGACCTGAGATCTACAAGCACAAGTTTCGTTTCTAAGTGGTGAACACCCAGAGAAGGAAACAGTCTCACTAAGCACATTAGTCTTTTTAATGTGTGGATTCCTTACCACCTCCCCAACATTCACAATCACAAAATACAACATGTGCTGTTTTCTTACTGCTGGACCAGCGGTTTTAACAGTGTAAGAACTTGAGGCCTGAGCTTAGGGGATACTTTTGTTAGCTTGCTTTGTTTTTCTGCTTCAAGCAAAAGGATGCGTGGGGTTTTTTTGTTTTGTTTTCTGTTTGAGAAATACTGCTGGCAGAGGAATTAAGTTAAAGCTACTTCAGAAACTGAGAACTACAAAGTAAAGATAAACCCTCATGTATGCAAGTAAGATGAATTTTGTGGGCTTTAGAAAAAATTGGGATACTCAGGCTGCCTTCTGTCAACGAAAGGAAGAAATCTAGTATGTGAGAGTGCTTGTAGCCCTAATTTGGCTAGATCAAATTGTACTAATTGTTAATTTACTCTGAACTGAAAAGTCTTGTCCTTTAAGCAGTGAAGTTTAGGTACATTAAATATGCAGGATTTAAAAGATGACAAATGCATGGTTTCCTATACAACTCTTTTGTGCTATGCATATACTGATTAAGATGCTTTTCTTTGTGCAAGAAAGAAGGGAAGGAGAACACTACGTGATAGAACTGAAAACTGTACAGTAATGCAGCTCAGAAAAAAAAATGTGATCGGAGCAACTGCTGCTCTCGCACCTGAAGTGGCTGACTGGAATCTGAGCCTTTACCAAAACTATCTGTAAGATTTTACACTTCAAGTTGATTTTACTTCTTGTTGTTCCACACTTAGGATGAAAGTAAAATTGCATTTTAAACTGTTCCACAACTACCTCTCCTTCATACATCATTGGAGCAGAAACCTGACTCTTGAGCATTACAGCACAGGTTTTTACCACTTGAGCTATGGGACTGACAACCCTAATTGGTAGCAGGAGAAGACTTATTCCCTGAGGGCTGAAAAAGGAATATGCTGCTGGCGCCATGTGTTGAGCCTGGGTGTGGGGGAAGGTAAGGAATAAATGAGATAATTAGGAGTTTCTACTGTGTAATCTCCACAGAACTGGAAATGTCAGTATTTCATGTGGTAAGGTAGGAAAACGAGCGAAAAGGAATAAAGTGCAGATAAGTAACTTTTTTTTTAATTACTGCATACGTGGGATTGGATGGTTTGTTCTGTTCTTGTGTACATCAGTGTAGTTTATTCGGTTGCTAGAAATTGCACTGTGTCAGCATAAGCAAGCAGTAGCTGGCCAGCCTGCGGGGTGTTCAGTCTTTAAGTCTCAGGTATCAGGCCACAGTTTGAATCGTTGCTGCTTTTGCCATGTTCTATTTATATACCGTTCCTGAAAGCCAGTGCTTACACTTCGTTTAGGACTTTCTGTGGTCTGGAGTATGGAAGTGTTTGCTGTCACTCGGAACAGCAGAGTGTGAGGCAGTTTATATCTGGTCAGTAGTCAGTGCTGGTTGTGCAGTTGATTGCTACAGGTCACTGGCTAGGGCAAGAAGAGTCTTGCTTATGCTACCATGAATATTTGGGTGGGAAGTGAGGAATTCCAGAAAATAATTAATCCAGGATTTTTATCTTTCTTTCTTTTTTTTTTTTTTTTAAAAAAAATATCCAAGGGCTACATGGCAGCACTCTTCTCTCTTTCCCACCTTCTAAAGATTCTTCTTTGTTACATTTAGTGTGAAACAATGTTATCGAAACTTGAGACTGTACACCTCTCTTCTTTCGACTGGGCTCCTTTCCTCTGTTGGAGGTGCATATTAGACATTGCTGTCTGTCAGTCCCTTTGCCATTAAATGTTGATGTCTGCAAAGTAAATCAGGATTCTGCTCCTCAAACTCTACTTCAAACTTGAAATTACATTATTCCACTTTTCCCAATTTTATATTGGTATTTTAGTAGGGAAGATCTTCACATACCTTTCTTTAAACCTTCCTCTCTGCATTTGGCAGACAGCCTGTTTCAGGCTGCTCCATAGGTTGGCATTGTCCAGTGGTCCAAGTTCAGCCCTCAGGGGCTGGGGGTGAGCATGCCTCGGAGGGGCAGCTGCTGCTCCGGGGCCTCTTTCGTTTTCTCATTGTCGCAGCGCTAGGGATGGAGCTGCTGTTGTGGGAGGAGGCTGGGGAGACTCAGTCACTGCTTGCAGTATTGCCAGTTCAGTAGAAAATAGAAAGTAGGTGGTGGTACGTTGGTATTCCTCTCAATAAGCTGAACCTGTGAATATGTGCTTTGTATAGCTCTGTTGATTTGGTTGTGCTTCACAAGAGTGACGCTTCCTTATAAAGCCTTTCTTAAAACTTTTCTTGAAAGAAGAGACACTTCCTTGAGTCTACATCTTAAAGTTCAGAATAATTAGAGAATTTGCTTAGAAGAATGTTTCATGATGTATCCATGTTAATGGGTTGGTTCACAGGACTTAATTTTGTAAAAGCTGGCTCAACTGCCTATCTTTTGGGTAACACCCATGGGGTTTTTAGTAAGAATTTGTCCTTTTTAATTGTTAATTATTCATTCATGTTAATTGTTAATTAATAATTCAGAATTGGTTCTGTGTAATCTTCCAGTATTGAGAGAAGAGATACTGAGCATAATCTTTTTTCTGTTAATGTTTTTATCCCACTGGTTTCCTTGTTTTGTTCTAGCTATTGTGAACTCAGAGTTCTTAGCTGCTTTGGAAGATTCTTTTAATGAATCATTGTTATGAAAAATTTGCAGCATATGATTTTGTTGCAGTTTCTTTTAAGGGAATCAGTGGAAACTGTTAATCAAATACACCCAAGTGTTAAGCTGTCTCTAAGACTGCAAACTGGAAAAATGAAAATAGATACTATTCTAATATTGTGCAGGTGAGTGGGTTGGTCTTTTTAATTGATGCACAGACACTTAAGACTGAAAATCTCTAATGCAATTTGCTTTATTCAAGTATTCCTGCATTATAAAGCTGCATTTTCTATAGGATCATGTTTTGGGTTTCAAAGTTTAAATGCCTTAGAGCTAACTCCGATGAGAAAGCTTGTGTAACAACAATTCAATGTAGCAGAAAAATATGGGAGCATGCTGGATAAATGCTGAAAGGAGTTACCTTCTTTCCCTTTCCTTTAGAAAGGTTGAAGTTGGTTTTTTTTTGATGGTTCCACTCCATTCATAACTTTACAGAAAAGCTTTTATACTTCAGTCTCTTTTTTCCTACTGAAGTCAATTGCTACATCAACAATGTAATGTCTGACATGCAAGTGCCTGATATTTCAAATCTGGTGATAAAGATTAAGCTGTAATATCATGTATGTGGCCTTTGGCATGGTGTGAACTTCTTATGGTAAATTCTGTTATATTTTTCTAACATGTTTTGTCTTCATTTTAGAGAACGATTCAGAAGAAATAAAAAAAGAGGCTATGTTCAGCTTCTTCCGAAAAAGTCAAGATTCAAAGAAGGTTACTGTGCCAGAGAGAGAAGCAGATGGATTTGTTATTGTGGGTAAGTGCTGCTTCTGTGTAAAGTGATTCTTACCGTCTTTGCAATGTAAAAATTTCTTTGAGATGCTTAGACCAAATGAAATGTTAAGAGAAACCATGATAAAAATTGTTCAGAATTCTTACTTTTCCTGAAGGAGTTCATATTCCTAGTCTGGACTAAATAGTTGAAGTTTTATTTACATATGTACGAAATCTTACCCAAGAGCATTGAAAATGTAGTTTCTTGTTTTCCTCTTATATTGTGAGCAAGAAGTTATGTCCTTATAAAACAAGAAAAGCCTCAAAGTTGAGGTTTCTAGCTTTATGATTAGAGTTGTGGGAAGGTAATATCTTATTGCAGTTGTTAGAGGACTGGTTTTTTTCAGGTTCTTTCCTTTTAATGTTACCGCCAAAGTCTTTTTATATTAGAAGCCAAGAAGCATCTGTGTATTTCTAGTCACATGGCGAATGTAGATGTCCTGTCTCAGAATCTGACTCTTTCTTAGTTTGATGAAAATTAAGCAGTTTAGCGTTTTCGAAGTCTTGTTGTTATTCAAAAACTAATCTGAAGTGTATTCACCTGTGAACTGGCTAGATTTGCAGCTTTAATCAAGCTCTTTCACAGTCTTGTTTTGTAGGATGCCTCAAATGTGCAGAAGATAAAGAATTTATTGCTGTCATGCTGTAACTGATCCGTTTCTTTTTCTTCTTTTGAAGATTTTTATTTTCCTCCTTGTAAATCTGTAATCATCAATATTCAGCTTCTGCTGTTCTGATTTACTGACTTGTTCTTATCAGGAATCTTACAGTGTTTCTCTACTTAAGTGTTACTTCGTGAGCATTTTCAAATCACAAAAGCCTCTAGATTATCAAAATCTAACTATGAGAGACTATTGACCTCTTTCTGATGAGAACTTATTTATATTCTTTGTAATAGTTCTCCATTAAAACAAAACTGGCTTCACATCTGTGACTCTGTGTTGTCATGTTTAATGGTTTCCTTCCACTAGATTTTGTTCATCTATACTGTTTTTGATGGCTACATCAAATCACTCCAGCACTGGCATTGTGGAAGGGTCAAAGGAGACACATTGTCATCCCAAAAAAGTCTGGAGACCATTTAGAGTTTCAAATTGGGTAACAGGCAGAGAGTTCTGCACTCAGACATTGTTTATGTCCCACAATTGCTGGTCCTGATTCTGCATTCAATTTAACTTCATTCCTTTTTCCTGAAGTGCTGTCCGTGACTATTTAAACGTTGTTCGTATAAATTAATATTAAATTAATCTGTTAAATATAAACATAAGAACTATCAATTTTGCTTGAATCTTCTCTTATTTCATGTCTATTTATTATTTTTTGCTCAGACAGGAGTTAATTTGGCAAACTGCAGCAAAATGGACTGTAATTTCATCTTAACTTTCACTGGGCAAAAGAATTGCCATCAACCTTGTCAGTGGAGCGTATCACTGTCTTGCTAGATGGATGTAGTTGCAAAATTATAGGTCAGCACTTAAACAGATACTTACCTAGAAGTTCTGTTTGTCTAGGAGTAGTGGCAGTCCAGAAAAAAAAAGAAAAAACAAACTACAACACCTAGCTCTTCTGCTAGTTACTTTTTGTAACTTAGATGGGAGGGTCTGAAGCTTTTTTAAATTTAGGTGTAAAATATTCTAGAATACCAGCACTAAATGGCTTTAACAAATCTCAGTAGGATTATAGGACCATTAGTATGAATACTGCTGTAGGCAGTGAACACTCTTGAAGGGAGTGAGAAATTAATTTCTTATGTTCCAACTTGGTTCCTAAACCCAGTCTTTCACTCAAAGCATGTGAGAACAAAAAGCCTAGTTTGCTGATACTCTGTGGACATGGGAGGAAGGGCTTTGCTTTTCTTTCCTGGAGAAAGGAGGGGAAAAATACATCCTCAGGGGACACTTGCTCCTGATTTCCACTGTTGTGGTCAGGAGAACTAGTCTGTCACAAATCCCTTGCAAGATTGTTCACACCATGCACCACTGATAAGGGCAGCCAGGAGTCCTACTGGAAGTCTGAATGAAACTTATCAAGAAAGACTCAATGCCATGTCTATTAAAGTATGAAAGAAATCTATTCAGTAATGTAGTGAGAGTACTGAGCATCACAATTAAATGTAGATAGTGTGATTTTTCTTAACAGTATTTGATTATTTTAATCTCTTTCTGTAGCATCTGACATTTGAAAAAGAGGGAAGAAGGGTCAACCCTTTATTGAAAAAGAACCATCAGAGCTATCACCCTGTCAAATCTTGAGGATCTTTATTTTTTCTATTTTTTTTCATAACTCCTCCAAGTCCTGTTATATATTGCTATATTTTAAATCTACCTTTGCTTGTAGAATATCAATGCATTTGGAATTTCAACATCTGAATACCTATTCTTTGGCTAGAAAGATGACTCATAAAAACACCAGAAGCAACAAAACCAACTTTGCAGCATAGTAGCTGAAAGAAATTATCTGTTTTAGCTTTTGGGGCAAATACTGCATGTGTGGGAGTTAAGAAAAAAGAATTTGTAATTCAGTCTCTACAAAATAAATATAAAATGTCATTTTCTACCAGAGACTAAAGCATTTTTATGTCTAACTACCAGTTCACTTGTTTTCCGTATACTGGTCATCTCATCTGTTCATGAAGCTGTAAAAGTGGTGCTTGTTCTGTAACAGGCAGAACTATTATGCTGAAAAGGGAAAAGAGGCTTATGAAATACGCACAACACATGCAATTGGTTTTGGTAAGTGATGATGGAATTTGGCACACAGCTAAAAATCTCCCATGAGATCTCAGAGATGCACGTGACTGGTAGTCCTAATCTCAGTCTAAGATCAGGAGTTGAAAAACTGAGACAGCAATGCTGCTTGCCATGTGTGTTTGGCAAGAAGGTCAGAAACTCTGCAAACATCCACGTGGTGCTGATGGTTCCACTGGGGTGAGTGGTGAGTGTTTTTTGCTTGAAGACAACTGAAATATCAGAGAATCATAGAATGGTTTGCGTTGGAAGAGACCTTTAAAGATCATCTAGTCCAACTTGCCTGCCATGGACAGGGACATCTTTCACTCTATCATGTTTTTCAAAGCCCTGTCCAACCTGACTTTGAACACAACTTCTTTGGGTAGCCTTTTGCAGTGTCTCATCACCCTTGTTGTTTTTTTTTTTAAAAAAAAAAAAAAAAAAAGGCACGTATCACAGAATATTGTTTTGTATGTGCTCTTTAAAAAATACTGTTTAATGTTTAAAGAATCATAGAATGGTTTGGAGTGGAAGGGACCTTAAAGATCCTCTAGTTCCAACCCCCTTGCTGTGGACAGGGACACCTTCCACTGGACCAGATTGCTCAAAGCCTCATCCAGTCTGGCCTTGATCACTTCCATGGAGGGGACATCCACAACTTCTCTGGGCAACAGTGTTAATTTTGTTTTCAGGTTTAGTTTAAGATGCTGATGTGGAGGCTCTTGGTTACTTTTCCAGAAAAAATTTGAACTGAAGCAGTGTGAAGGAGCAGCAAGTGCTGGTGGCTCCACCAGGCAGGTGAGCCTGCAGCCGAGCGAGGGTGCCAAGAGAGCAGAGGCTTGGGCAGAGACCTCACTGATGAGTGGTGTAGACCCACGCTATCTGAACAGGGACAACAGAGCAGGTGTGGTGATGATGACTGGGGTGAGCCGAGAGTCCAGCCATTGCCAGAGAAGTCTGCAGGGACGAGGTAGATCTGAGACCTGGCCAGGAAGTCAGGTCAGAGGGTTGGGGTCATCAAGGTGCACAGGCAGGCACAGGCATCGCAGCAGGGTGGCTTGGGCAAGGACCAAGAACCTGAGATGAGGTTTCTCCCACAGCTCTTTGCCTGGACCCTGATGGACGTACTCAGGCTGCACTGTGTCAGTGCAGGCTGTCAGTGTGGACAGCCAAACCCCCAGGGCTGGGGAAGGGGCTGCTGAGCCCAGTGGTGCAGTCGGGGCCGAACAGCCAGAATGGTTGTGTTGTCTCTCACTAGTGTCTCGAGGCAGCATGGTTCTCTGAGGAGCTCTTCATCTAGCCTTTGACCATGCCTGAGTTCAAGTTTGCTTTGTTAACTTGTTAACTTTTAACTTGTGTTTTAAAGACCGATCTGTTTCATGGATTTAAGAGTTGTTGGTTTTTGTTTTGTTTTCTCTCTGGTATCTTTTTATGTCATAAATTGGAATGGAGTAAATGGCTTGGAAAAGCAGGTCAGTTGCTAGTGCTGATAAACCGGATTCGTAAACTTATTTAACTTCTGTTTCTTCCTTAAACTTAGGACAGCTTCCTGTTTCATTTTTTTAGATGTAAATTAACATGGGTTTTCAATACTGACCAATGGCTATTATTTCAGAGCTCTGCTCTCAATTTCAGGTGCAGATCTCTAATAGGTGGTAGGGAGTATTTTTATTGACTTAACTGTCACCTGAAGGTTGTTTTCTGAGATTCAGCAATTTTGCTGAAAGTCTCAAGAATAAGTACCCAAGTTAAAATGGGCAGGCATGGGATTCTAATCAGAGTGGAGTGACTGTCACAGATGCAGGGAGGCTATGGCTGGGGGGAGAAGTGTTGGCAGGGG